AAAAAAAAAAAAGAGGACAGAACTTATTTCCACTGTAGCTAAGGCTTTGCAGCACTCTATGGTCAGTAGACTTGGTGCATGTGGGGGTTTGTGCTGGTCTTCTGGGGAGGGGCCCACTGCTGCTCTGGCTCTCAGGTATACTTGCCCTCATATAAAATACCTCCAGAGCACAGATGGGCAAGGCTTTGTGTAAGCAGCTCAAACCTCCACTGTGGATATTGTGCTGCTCACTGAAGTCTGTCCCTATTTCCATGATGTGGCCTCTTTTCTCCCTCTATTTGTGTAGTTTGTTCTCTGAGTCCTCAGATCAATTTCTTGGGTCAAATCTAGAATGATTTGATATTTATCTAGCTGAGTTCGAGGGATGAGGCAAGCATAGTGTCCCCCTACTACTCCACTGTCTCAACTCAGGCCACTAAATTTTAATAAATTTGTTATGCAGCTATAGACAACTAACACAGGAGGTCTCTATGTACTTTTGTGGTCATAATAATCAATCCTCATTACCATGTGTGAGGGGTTGGGGAAGATGGAAAGAACATATCTATTTTCTTCTCTCTTCCAGAATCCAGATTTGCTCTACACTGATATCGGGGCACTGTAAGATTAATCCATAGAAATGTTTTCTACAAAGGTATATTTCAGTCTTCTACTAACCAACTGCAAGAGGTTTGTAGAGCCATCTATCTAAGTTCCAGCATGGATCTAGAGCTTAGCTGAGTCCCATGCAGAAAATGTCCAACCCCTACATACATAGAAGTAGTGATTTATGTTGTCCTTTCAGTTCTAAAATTCCATGACATGAGGTCACAAGTGAATGTATATTGTATATATTTCCTCTAAAGTACTGAAAAAATGTATACTGACAACCCTTAGCAAAACTCCACAAGTATTTTTTGAGCACTTGGTCCATCCATGCCATGTTTTGTGTTAAATTCTGGTGGATACGACAGACCAACTAGCCTACATTCTGGTGAGTTGTGTCTCTTCAAACTCTGTGTCCTTCTCTCAGAGACTCTTCCACTCAAATTAATTTGGTAATTCTTGATTTTAGGCAAATATAAAGGTGTGAACTCAATTACAAACTTCATGTACCTTAAGAGGATGAGTCAGACATGCACAAACCAGAAATGTTTCTCACACTCACCCAGAAATGTCCTAGGATGTTGACCTCAAAAGTTTTGGTAATCTCTTCATCCTTGGTACTAAGAAGGTCAGCTGGATATACTACCCCAGCATTATTCACCAAGATGGTTACATCTCCTACTTCTTTCTTTACCTGTGAAGGGAAAAAAATTACTGGGTATGTTATAGAAACTCAAAGTTTTGGGGCTGATGTCATCCACGAATTAGATTCTTTATTCCACTTGATAAGAAATCTCAGAGTTCAGGCTGGAAAGAGCTTTAGTCCAAAAAATGGATGCAAAGAGAACACTGTCATAAAGTTAGGAGAAACTATGTTTTTTTAAAATTTTTTTTTCAACGTTTATTTATTTTTTGGGACAGAGAGAGACAGAGCATGAACGGGGGAGGGGCAGAGAGAGAGGGAGACACAGACTCGGAAACAGGCTCCAGGCTCCGAGCCATCAGCCCAGAGCCTGACGCGGGGCTCGAACTCCCGGACCGCGAGATCGTGACCTGGCTGAAGTCGGACGCTTAACCGACTGCGCCACCCAGGCGCCCCGAAACTATGTTTTTTAACATCTGAATTTTCATATTATGTAAATCATAGATTTTTAAACTTTATAAAGTGAATTAATATTTGTGTTGATTAATTGATATATTGGTTCTGATCAAACATTTTTATAGTGCTAACTGAGTAGTCTTGTTTCTACCACCTACTAATTATATGATCGTGGACTGGCTTAACTCCTCCTTAGCAGAGCAAAATCTCAGTTTGCTCATCTGTCAAATGAGGTTAATAGAGTTATTGTAGAGATGAAATTAAAGGATGCAGTAGTTTATCAGAGTGTTTGGTTCATTTGATATTTACTCTTTTAAAAATTGTTACAATAATTACTAACATTACATTTTCTATAGAAGACTAGATTATTGGCAACATAAATAAAATACCATAGAGAAAATAAAGAAAAAAAAAGGAATTACTGCAAAAGTAATAGGATTAAGATAAAACTCAGAAAGTGATTCTTTCTCCTGGTGATGAATCTCTTCTCTGTCACTCTATACCACTGCTCAAACTTCTGATCAGAAAGAAATTGGTTAGTAATATGAAATAATAATAATAGGCAGGGTTGAGTGGGTTCTATACAAGGAAAGAAATGTATATCCTTCCTTATTCATACAACCACCTTAGTTAGCAGAGGCTAAAATAGAATTTAAATCAGGCAGCCATAAAGAATCTTTCCACTGCCCATGGAAATAGATACAAAATTATTTGAAGGAATTTGTAGTTTGAAATCTCACCTGCTTTACAGAGTTATAAATGTCTTCTCGGTTACTGCAGTCTACGACAGATACATGCACGGTGGCCCCCAGTTTTCTGCATTCAGCTGCTGTTTCCTCAACACTGTGCTGTAATTGGAAAAAACAAATGTAGAAAGATGTAGGTCAGTTAGGGGACAAGACAAAGGGAGAAAGACTTGGAGAAGATATTTCTTTAAAGATTAAAACTCATGGGATGTCTAGGTGGCTCAGGGTAAGTGTCTGACTCTTGCTGTCCTTTTAGGTCTTGATCTCAGGCTTGCAAGTTCAAGCCCCATGTTGGGCTCCACACTGGGCTCTGCACTGGACATGAAGCCTACTTTAAAAATAAATAAATAAATAAATAAATAAACAAACAAACAAACAAATAAAAGATTAAAATTCATGTCCAAAATGCCCTCCTTGTTGGTTTTTTTTTTTAATTTTTTTTTTTTAACATTTATTTATTTTTGAGACAGAGAGAGACAGAGCATGAACGGGGGCGGGGCAGAGAGAGAGGGAGACACAGAACTGGAAGCAGGCTCCAGGCTCTGAGCCATCAGCCCAGAGCCCGACGCGGGGCTCGAACTCACGGACTGTGAGATCGTGACCTGAGCTGAAGTCGGACGCCTAACTGACTGAGCCACCCAGGCGCCCCTTTGCCCTCCTTGTTTGTACAAAAGCTTCGTGAGAGACACTGCCTGCCTAACTTGCAAAGGGAGTGTATGTGGTGTTTCTGCCAGTGAGTGCTCACACTAGATATGGGTTTTTATCTTGTTTGACTACATTCTCAACAGCCATTCTGCATCTAAACAAACCAAACCAAACCAAACACCCTTCATGTTTTTCCAGCTTTTTATCTTGGGTTAGAGGTTCCTCAAGAGGCAGTTTTTTAAAAGCAGACTACTCTCATAGACAGAAGAACATGCTTGAAAGATGTTGCTCTTTGTGGGGTCATGAATGGAGGTGTTGGGATACACAGAAGAAAAGAAAATTCAGCTTTTCATTTGACAGATTGTCAAATTGTTGCTGAGCACCAACCATATAGTAGCAGTAAAGCACCAGGTAGCAATTCTAAACTAGTGGTAATTTTAAACCATATGCCTCTGCCTGTCATACTTTTCTTGATGATTCTGATTTAAGCCACTAGGAGGGAAGGAGAAAGAAGGATCCTTATTCGAGGAAGCCTTTCCTAGGGAGGCAATGCTACCACTCTTGGTGATATAATATTATGTTCAAGTGTTTTGGAGTGAAAATGGGCAAAGGCCATGGCTAGAGTCTCATCTATGTAACAACTTCATACACGTAATACGTTTATAGTAACTTTGTATGCAGAAACCCAAGACATGGATATAGAGAAACTTTTTTTCAGCCTAAATTCAAAGACCTTTTTCCTAAAATAAAACTGTCCTGATGTTTCTTAAGGCACTCAGCGCGTAGCCCCACCGATGAGCTTCCCTCCGCCCTATTGTCCTGATGTTTCTTGATCTGTATTTCCAGGAAAACTAGAATTCTTTTCAAGTTTTGACATCTGTTGATTTTATAGAGATTATAAGGTTTTAAAAATTACACTTTTTGGGGTGCCTCAGTGGCTCAGTCGGTTAAGCATCTGACTTTAGCTCAGGCCATGATCTCATAGCTCGTGGGTTTGAGCCCCACGTCCGGCTCTGTAGTGACAGTGGGGAGCCTGCTTTGGATTCTGTGTCTCCCTTTTCCTCTCCCCTGCTCATGCTCATGCTCTGTCTCTCTCTCTGAAAAGTAAACATTAAAAAAATTTTTTTAATTACATTTTTCCTCTCACAATTTGTAGATTCTTCCCTGTGATGAAGAGGCAAGGCCGCCTGAAAGCCCTTTTCTCACACCGGGATGTTCACAGTGTGGCTGTTACTTGAGGCGGTCCCTGAGTGAGTGGCAAGTGGTTCCCTTAGCCAGTGCTGCCTCCCTTGGGTCCTTCATATTCCACTACCTCAGGCTCAGCCCCAGAGTAGCAGCCTGAAATCCCAAAGAACAGACCCTCATAGGACACAAAGTCACAGAGCCAATATCCCCTCACAGCCTTTTGGGGCTTGCAGAGGAGTAAAGAGGGAGGAGAGGAGCTCTTTCACCAATTTATTTATTTTTAATTTTTTTTTTTACGTTTTATTTATTTTTGAGAGAGAGAGAGAGAGAGACAGAACACAAGTGGAGGAGGGGCAGAGAGAGGGAGACAGAATCCGAAGCAGGCTCTAGGCTCTGAGCTGTCAGCACAGAGCCCGATGCGGGGCTCAAACCCATGAACTGTGAGATCAAGACCTGAGCCGAAGTCAGTTGCTTAACCGACTGAGCCACCCAGGCGCCCCTTTCTCTCACCAATTTAGACATAGCTTGCTCATTGTCAGATTACAAGAACCACCATGCATTTTTTTGTCTCTAGACTCATGTTCAGTAGAGAGAATTCATGACCAGAGCTTTCATCAGATGCTTTGATTAAAGAATTAATAATGTGTCAGTCTTCTACCCGAGCTAGAGAACTACAAAATGTAATGTCTTGTCTTTTTTTAAGCAAAAATACTTGCTTTAACCTCAACCCCAGTTTGCAGTGACTCCACTTTTCAGAGTGTTCCTAAAGCAACAGTTCAGATTGAATGAGGGCACACTGCTAACATGACTCTAAGTAAGGCAAAAGAAGTCAGCCATAACCAAGAGAGCTGGCACCTTCCACAGGTTAAAGGAGATCTGAGTTACATTTATAGCCTTACAGTGAATCATTTAACACCTTGAATGTTTGTTTTTTTTTTTTATTTTGAGAGAGAGAGAGCGAGAGCACACTCACACATGCAAGTGGGGGAGGGGAAGAGAGAGAATCTCAGGCAGGCTCCGTCAGCGCAGAGACTTGGGGCTCAATCCCACAAACCAGGACATCATTATTCAAGCTGAAAGAAGAGTTGGTTGCTTAACCAACTGAGCCATGCAGGTGCCCTTAATACCTTCATTGTTTAATCATAAAATTCAGGGATTCAAAGATACCCTATGAGGTTAGGTGACTCATCCTTCAGGCAGAATCTTAAATAAGTCATTTTTATTCCTTGTCACTGGAATTTAAAAAAATGTAATCAATAGGGACACCTGCGTGGCTCAGTCAGTTAAGTGTCTATGCTGACATCTCAGAGCCTGGAACCTGCTTTGGATTCTATGTCTCCTTCTCTCTCTGTTCCTCCCCTGCTCGCTCTCTCTCTCTCTCTCTCTCTCTTTCTCAAAAATAAATATTAAAAAAATTTTTAAATAAAAAAATAAAAAATGTAATAAATATCAGTCATCTCTCCCAAACACATAGCTAGAAAGAGATTGAAAGGTTATATTTTATCAAGACTTTTTCCTGGATTTATACTTCTTTCTTTCTTTTCTTTTTTCTCTTTCCTCTTTCTTTCTTTTTTTCTTTCTTTCTTTCATGAATGCCTAAGAACAGCAGACAGCAGTTTTCTCAATTTGTAAATCTTGTCCCCTTCTAGAAAGCTCATTGGAATCTCTTCAAGGACCAACTGATGCCAAATCACTTCCCTGTATATCAACTCATCTATTAAATGCCTGTGTATGTTATACAAAATGTACCAACTTTTCCTTGTACAGTATTCTTTACTGTCTGGAAAGAACCAGAGAAGAACTACTTTTCTAAGATCAAGTGACTTTTTTTTTAAAGATTTTATTTTATTTTATTTTTTATTTAAAAAATTTTTTACATTTTATTATTTTTGAGAGACAGAGACAGAGTGTGAGTGGGGGAGGGGCAGAGAGAGGAAGATGGAATCTGAAGCAGGCTCCAGGCTCTGAGCTGTCAGCACAGAGACTGATGCAGGTCTTGAACCCACAAACCACAAGATCATGACCCGAGCCAAAGTCTAAACCCAACCAACTGAGCCACCCAGGCACCCCTCGAGTTTATATATCTTTAACACAAAGCTCTTTAATTTAAATATACAGCCACATATTAGATATCTTCACCAGAATGTCCCACAGGCATCTCAGACTCAAGTCAGGGCAAGCAGTGTTTGAAAGTTATATGGAGAGTGTTGGAGCTGTTTCCCACCAGTGTTGGGCAATCTTGGCTGGGTGGGGGGAGGAGGAACTAGGGAAGAGAAATGCCACCTGTCAGGTCTTTTGTTCTTTTTTTTGTTGTTTAATTTTTTAAATTGATTGTTTATTTAAAAATTTTTTTATTACATTTATTTATTTTTGAGAGACAGAGACAGATCACGAACAGGGGAGGGGCAGAGAGCAAGGGAGACAGAATCCGAAGCAGGCTCCAGGCTCTGAGCTGTCAGAGCCTGACATGGAACTTGAACCTATGAGCTGTGAGATCACGACCTGAGCCAAAATTGGATGCTTATCTGACTGAGTCACCCAGGTGCCCCTAAAGATTTTATTTTTAAGTAATCTCTACACCCAACGTGGGGCTTGGACTTACAACCCTGAAATCAAGAGGTACACGTTACCGACTGATCAGGGCACCAGCCGGGTGCCCCAAAATGACATTTTTGAAGGCTTTAAGAAATAGGACAACTGGACATGACAGCAAAGAACATCAGAGAGTAGTAATATAGTGGCAATTAAAATCTCACTGTGATCTGTGGAAAATCTGATTTTTTTTTCATGTTTATTTTTGAGACAGTGAGCATGGATGGGGAGAGGGCAGAGAGAGAGTGACAGAGGGTCTCAAGCGGGCTCTGTGCTGACAGCAGAGAGCCCGATGTGGAGCTCAAACCCATGAACCATGAGATCATGACCTGAGCCAAAGTTGGACGCATCATTGACTGAGCCACCCAGGTGCCCTGAAAATCTGATTCTTAAAAAAACTTCACAGTTTTTCCAACCTAAAAATCCTGTCACATTTTTCTGTGTATTATTTTTATGGACTTCCAGAATTCACAAGTGTAGGGGAAATGATACAAAATTTCAGTTTTATTTTTGAGTAGCTAATATAATGTTTACAAAGAAAATATGAATGCTCAAGAGAAAGCCTGACCCACTGCATGTTGTTGTTGTTGTTGTTTTTAAAATGGCTTATGTTTAGTATGGACAGATATTGTTCTTAGTGCATAAAATTCACTTGTTTAATCCTCTTGCCAAGGAGTCCACAAACTTTTCCTGTAAACTGCGAGAGAGTAAATATTTTAGGATTGTGTGGGTGGGAGTGGAGGCAATAAGAGGTTCTGTCGGATGTTCTTCTTTGTTTCTTTATTTGCTTGTTGCTTTGACAACGCTTAAAAAAGGTAAAAAACATTGCCAGCTCAACAGCCTGCCCAAGGACCAGGTTTGTTCCATTAGCCAGAGTTTGCTAACACCTGTTATTACCCATCCTGTGAGGTATTATCTTCATTTCAAAAATAAGGAAACTGGAAGCTTGGAAGTAGCCTGGCTCCTGAATCTGTGTTATCAACTTAAATATCATGGCATAAAAAAATCACTGCTTAGTTCTCAGTTATGTTCCCTTCGTCAAACCACCCCAATGCATGTAGAATAAGGCACCAGGGAAGTTAGCTATTAAACATTAAAAAAGAAAAATACAAAGGTACGCAGATGCTAAGTCAAATAATTTTTGAAACATATGCCTTACTTATGACTTTAAAAGATGGGGCAAATGAATCCATTACCTTATTAATATCCCACAGAACCAGCCTGCTCTTCCGTTTTGCAAATTCATAGGCAGTCGACCTGCCTATTCCATGTCCGGCTCCTGTAATGAGGATAGTCTCCCCAGCCACAGATTTTCTCCTTTGGGGAATGAAAATTTTCACCAATGCCTCCAAATAGGAGTAGATGATGGTGAGCAGAAGAAGGAGGAGATCCAAGATAATATTCATGGCTCTGCTCTGTACTCCTTCTCTGGTTCAATCCTTGTCTACCCGCAGCTAAGAGCCACCTTCTGCACAAAGGTCCAGGGGAGAGCTGTGCTCCAGGTGTTGATAGGACTGGCAGAAGTAAGCCAGATTTCCTCTACGTGTTCTGATAGGCTGGCTACACCTCGAGTTTGGAAATGATGCAATTGCTACTAAAAGCTTGGCGCAGGGACAAAGGAATCCTGGAGAAAGTGCTCTTTGGACTTGCTCACGGAGAAGCAGTTTTGTGCTGTGTTGCACAATTAAGTGCAATTATTCTACAAATAATTCTAGAGATGGTGCATCAGCTAATTGTCTCTTGGTAGTCTCTTGGTATCTTTCTGTAAACGTGTGTGTGTGTTTGTGTGTGTGTGTGTGTGTGTGTGTGTGTGTGTGTTTAATTGAAGGAAAAAGAGAAAGTAGAGGTATTGTCCTAAGGAGACTTAAATAAAGTTATAGGCCAACCAAGCTTAGTTTGATTCATTTATTCATGAAAGCTCAGCATCAATATTTCAGTTAACTAATTTTTTTTTTTTACATGAGATGCACATTTCCCTGAAACCCTCTTAAGTTTGGGGGAGATTGGAGGTTATACAAAGCAATCAAATCCCTTTGTGATACTATGGGAATGAGCATTAAATCTCCTGATTTATGCTCCAAAAGTCTCCACTTAAAAGTGGTGTGACTTCCAATACCCCAAAGTAGAAACAGTCCAAGTGTCTATCAACAGATAGATGAATGGATAAACAAAATGTTATATATACATACAATGCAATATCATTCCTCTTTTAAAATGAATGCAATTCTGATATATGCTACAACATGAATGAACCTTAAAAACATTATGCTAAGTAAAATAAAAGACACAAAAGGACAAATATTGTTTGACTCCACTTATATAACCTATATTAGTCTGATACATTGAGATAGAAAGTAGAATGGTGGTTATTGGGAAATGCCACTATTTCTTTGGAGACCATAACATGAGACATTTACAGGATTTATGTACATTGCTATAACCCACTATTTTAGTGTAACTATAGTAGTCTGCCAAGTAGAAGTTGAGGATTATAATCTCTTCAAATAAATAATTTCCCCTTCCTTTCTGGAGGTTTAATTGTCAAAGGTTCTGTGCCCTACCAAACTGATAAAGCAGTATTAGGTAGTCTTAAATGTCTTATAAACTTCTTGAAACTCCAAAACCTAGTTCCTATCTGAACAAATCCCAAGTTCACATCTTGTAGAGGCCTCTGCATATTTTCTGTTTATGAAACACGTTGCTTCATCTCTGCATATCAATCCTACTTTTTTTCTTATAGTAGCAAAGAAAGGGTCTTGATCGCTATTGTGTACTTCTCAAGATTTCTTTCCTTGTTCCTCCAATTATTCTTTTTTCCCTATTAATTCCAACTCCTTCCTGCCTACAGGACCTGTCTCTTTTGCTTTCAACTACCTTCTGATCTCTCCAATTATAAAAATATTCTGTGAAATCTTTCCCTACCCAATCCCCTTTTACCATCCTGTCTTTCATATCTTACTGTCAAATTATTATATAGCAATTACCTCTGTTCTCTGGCTACCCATTTCCTTGGGAGGATAGAAATCTCTTGTCTCTTTATTCTTCACCTGGTGCATAGTGCCATGGTGGTCCTGAATATAAAGAGCTATGTGAGTATCACCAGTCCTGAAGATGGAAGGTGGGTGGGAGGTGAGCCATAAATGGGACCTAAAGGGCGAGCAGGGGTTGACCACATGGTGAAGAGGATAAGAATGCTCCAGATATAGGAAACCATGTGTAGAGGCACTGGGATGTGAAAGATCATGGCACACTGAAGGACTAGGTCTGTCTTGGATAAGAGAGTGTAGGGCAGAGAGAAGGTAATGTATAGGTGCACAGAGGCTCAATCATTGAGAGCCTCAGCATCAAGGAAGGCTAGTGAAATGTTTTGAGCAGAGGACTGCCATCATCAGATTTAGAAATGCCACAGGATGGAGGATGCATTGGAAGAACGGCAAGAATAGATGGAGGGAAACCAGTGGACAGCTGTTAGGTCACCCAGGCCAGAGATGGTGGTGGCCTGAATGAAAGTGGTGGCAAAGAGATATTTGGGAGAGGGAATAATACAATAAATGGGCATTAATTTAATAAATATACATCAAACTCTTGATATAGTCTTAGGGACTGTTCCAGGCATTGGGGATACAGCATTGAACAAAATACATCAAAACAAATCACTTCCCTTGGGAAATTTATGCTCTAGGGGCAATGTAGACAATAAAGATGATAAATAAGGAAGATATATAGTATGCTCCACAATGGTAAGTGCCAGGGAGAAAAATCGAGAACAGACGCAGAAATGGAATCTGGTAGGGCATGGTTGTGTAGACAGGGTTTAAGTAAGGAGTGCTAAGTTCTGAAAAGACCTAAGGGAAAAAAAGACTTAAAAGGAAGATGGAGCTAGCCATGTGGGTATCTGCAGGAAGAACATTCTGGAAAGGGAACAGTGACATACAAAGGTCTTGAGATAGGAATATGTCTGGTGAGTCATGGAACATCAAGGGCATGAACTGAAAGAAGGTGAGGGTAGTGTGACAGTTTTATGGGTCAACATGGATAGGTTATAGTTTCTAGCTATTCAGTGTAACAGTAATCTAGGTATTCCTGTGAAGGTATTTTGTGCTTAATATCTATGATCAGTAGTCTTTATTTTTTTTAATGTTTATTTATTTGTTTTGGGAGAAAGAGGGGAGGGGCAGAGAGAGAGAGAGAGAAGGAGAGAAAATTTCAAGCAGGCTCCGAGCTGCCAGCACAGAGCCCCACTCAGGGCTCTATCTCTTTCTCTCTCAAAGATAAATAAACATTTGGAAAAAAAAAAGAGACTGAGAGAGAGATACCAGAGACCTCCCTTGCCCCTTCTGCTATGTAAAGACACAGAAAGAAGACAGGCTGGCTGGTTGTAAACCAGGAGGCAGGCTTTCACTAGACACCAAATCCTTGATATTGTCAGCCTGAACTAAGATATCCTGAGTTAGAAGAAATTCTGCCTCAAGACTGCAACATCAACTTGTGCCCAAGAGTTTCCAGTCTTCCTGTCTCCCCAACAGATTTCAGAGTTGCTAGCCTCCCACAATCACATGAGCCAATTCCTCAATTCCTTGAACTGTATCTCTTCTTGTATGTATGTATGTATGTATGTGTGTATGTATGTAGATATATAAAATTTCCTACTGGCTCTGTTTCTCCGGAGAACTCTAATACAGGTAATAAGGTAGTGGAGAAGAAGACTAGATTACATATGGCCTTCTAGGTCATGGTAAAAACTTTAGCTTTAAGTTTTAGACGAGAAGCTGATGGGATATTGTGAGCTGAAGCATGATGTGAACTCATACTTTAAAGACCCATTCTGGCTGCTGTGCTGGGGGTAACAAGAGGTGATGGTGGCTTGCATCAGGGTGGTGGCAGTAGGGGTGATAAGAGGTGATAGAATTCTGGATATAGATATAGATATAGATATAGATATAGATATAGATATAGATATATCTGATGTTTATTTGTCTATTTTTGAGAGAGAGAGAGAGAGAGAGAGAGAGAGCAAGGGAGGGGCAGAGATGGAGGGAGACAGAGCATCCCAAGCAGGCTCTGCTGTCGGTACGGAGCCTGACACAGCTGGAACTCATGAACCATGAGATCATGACCTAAGTTGAAATCAAGAGTTGAACACTTGACTGACTGAGCAACCAAGGCACCCCCGTATATATTTTCAAGGTAGAACAAACAGAATTGTTTTTGTAATGAATGTGGGGAGTGAGAGAGAGGAATCAAGGATGACACTACATTTTTTTACCTGAGCAACTGGAATAATGCGGTTTGGAACAGTTTTTGGATAACACGAAAATCTCAGTTTCAGAAATATTGCGTTGAAATGCCTGCAGGTCATACAGGCAGAGATATCAAGAAGGTATTTGCATATGTGTGTGGCATTCAGAGGAGAGATTCAGGCTGGAAATATAAGTGTGGGAATGGTGACCAATATTTAACGTGTGTGCCAAGGACTAGAGGATTTTTCTGAGATGAGGGATGAAGGTGAACAAAAGGAGGCAGGTGTAATTCCAGGTTTTTAGCTTGGACACTTGTTAGATGTGCCATTTTCTGTTGGGGAACACAGATGGTGTAGAGAAGATGCTAGCTTGAATTACTATACGAGGCCACCCGCAATTATAGGGAAGTCTATGAAAGTAAAAGGCACATCTCTCTCATCCTGAGATTGTCCAGTCATCCCTAGACCAATTAAAAAAAAAAAAAGAGGGAAAGAAAAAGGAAAACAAAACAAAAAACAACTGGAGTGGTCAGATTGGCTCTAAAGTGTACCGGGAATTTCTATCTACTTTTGGGAAGGATGTGATGGCCAGTGCAGATTAAGACTATCCCAGTATTTTCAGGCTCAGCTTTTTAATTTCAGGAAACTTTAGACTGTTGCGATATTGGGTCAGTCCAGGCTAGGTTTTTTGTTTTTGTTTTTGTTTTTTTTTAGGTAGAATACTTGAGCAACTAGGATTTAGGATTTCATTCTACCTTAAAATAATTCCTAGATGAAACAGCTTCAATTCCCATTGGAGATTTTCATTGGCTAATTATGGAATATTGTCTGAATACCAAGGGGAGCTTGAGTAAAAGGAAGCAGAGGGGGCTTAGGGTGATGGTTCAACTATCCAGGAATTCCACTGAGGTTGTAGGATGAGTCAGCAAACTTGGGCTCAAATCCTCAGCTTGACCTCTGAGTAGCAGTGTGATTTCAGGTAAGTTTGGTGAATGCCTTTGGGCTACCTCATCTATGAAATGGGAATAATGATGTCTACCACCCAGAATTCTTCAAGGGAGTAAGTCTATTGCCCAGCCTGGGAGAGGAGGCTCTTAATAATTGCTCCCCTCCCCCACAGTAAAATCCTCACTAGCTATTTACTTGCTAGCCAAGTTGATGTTGACAACCTACTAAGGGTCAATTTTAACCCTTTTCCTTGGCTTGATTCCTTACTCTTTCTAATCCTTATTTCCATTAAAAAGAATAGATTTCTGGCATGAGA